CCCTTGTCCCCTCCCGAAATCTTTGTTACATTTTCTTATAATTATATTTTCTTGCCCTTTCCAAAGGTCTTTCCGCTTTATAAAGGTTTAAACCCTAAGTGCAGTCCTCAGATAGCTCAAGAACATTTACTTAGTCACAATATCCTATGGTTTTGATTCTTGACAGTACAAGCATATGGGCCTTAAAGCTGCAGTTTGTGAAATAGGATCATCGGCAACAGATTTTGTTATAAATGTCATGCTTGATACTTACATATAATGTTACAATACACATAACATATATCCTATATGAAAGATAGAATTCAAGGAAGGAATAAGGATTTGTGTGAATTTAACGTTCTTCATAGGTGTGTGGGTTAAAAGATTCACAGATATATATCTTCACGTAAAACATAGACCGTTGTATCAGGTGTCTTGGTGTGACTGCTCATCCATCCCAGGTTAACCTATATTAAAATAATTAACAGTATCAAGATAATGAATATATCCAAAATGATGACTAACATGCTCATTATTCTGCCATTCTCCTTTAGGGACTCCTGTAGGGACTTCTGGTGCTAAAACTTCTGAAAATATTATAACTGAGGGAAAGTTTGCAAAAGAATAATCAGCTTTCAGTTGCTTTTCTGCATGGGTGCTGCTTACAACCAGATTTTGACTTTCCTGACTTTCTCATATGCATACCTTTCTAGTATTTTTCAGTCACATTTTGCAAGCCATTTACAAAATGACGTGCATTCTGTGTGACCGGATTTAAAAATCCCGTTAATATCTGAAACAGAAAACCTCAATATTTACCTCCTATGAGCATTCAGATTAGTCAAAATCATGATATAGATGCTTGTAGAAAGCGATCGATGAAACATAGTTCAGATTTTTTAGCTTCAGGACCTTTACCTCTCCCCTACCTTTTCCTTACTTCTAATGTGTTTGTAGAACATATTAGATTATTATGGACAATTCAGAAGAATGAATGACTGAGCTCTTGATTATATTAAAATAATTCAGATTTTTGAAAAATCTGTGATTTAGGTATCCTTAGGGTATCCTAACTTGCTTCCAGTGGCTACTCCAGAAAGATACAAGACTCCCATTGGATTTGGATATATCTTTCACGTGCTCTGAGGTAACTGAGGCTATCTGAGATGGCAGCAGGGAACTGTATGGAGAGAACTGAACCAAGCCTTTAATGACTGTCATTGAGAGCCAGCACATTAAGTACCAGAAGGACACCATAGGAAAGAAAGTAGAATCCATCTTTAAAAAGGAATGAGAATTTGGGTATTATAGCTTAGTAAGCCTAACTTCAGCACCAGTGGTGATATTAGGACAAATTATTTAGCAGCTACGCTAAATGAATGAACGTGAGTGAATGAGCAGCTACACTCAAAGGGAGGCATGCGTGTGGTATATCTTGACTTGTGTACAGCTTTTGATGCAATCTTAGGAGATATTTTGTGATTCAGGTGCATTCATCAGAAAGTGGGTACCTGGCGGGTTAAAAAGGTCATATTCAAAGAATGTGCTGCTAATAACTGTAAAATTTAGGCAAGTATTTTGAATGGTATCTCACTGAGTCTCTTCTGGATCTGATTCAGTCCAATATTTTATTGGTAATTTGGATGATTAACCACTTCCCCTACGAACTTACTAAGGGTGTACGCTATTCCACTGTCCAGGTCGTCAACAAAGACATTAAACTGTATTGGCTTCAGTACTCATTCCTAAGAGACAGCCGTAGTAACCAGCTGCTAGCTGGACTTTGTACCATTGATCATAACCCTCTAAGCCCAACAATCCACCAAATTTTCCACCCATTATGTTGTTCATATATCTAAACCATATCTCACCAATTTGACAATAAGAATACTATGGGACAGCGTGTCAAAAGCCTTCCTAAAAGCAACATGAACAATATCCTCTGCCCTCTCAAAGTCCACAAGGCTAATCATCTCAAAAGAGAAAACACTCAGGTTGGTTAGGCACAGTTGCCCCTTGATAAATCCATGCTGACTGTCCCCATACCTTCTTAGTCCTCATGCATCTGGATTTGGCTTCTAGGAGGATTTGCTCCATAGTCTTCCCAGAAAATGAGCTTAGGCTCACTGCCCTCTTGAAGATGGGTGCGACGTTTTGCATTTTTCAGTCATCAGAACCATCATTCAGGCACCACTGACATTTAAAAATGGTAGGGAGCAACCTCACAGTTATTTTGGTGATGCACCCTCAGGTGCATCCCTTCTGCTTTCATGGGCTTATGAATCTTCAGTTTGCTTAAGTGGCTTCTAACTCAATTTTCTTTCCTGGGGTTAGTGCTTCAGTCACTACATTCAGGGACTTGAGAGTCCTGAGGGCAAATCTTCTCAGTAAAAGCAAGGTAAAGAAGGCACTGAGTACCTCAGCCTTTTCTGAGTCTTTTGTTACTAGGTACCCTGCTCTGCTGGGCAATGGATCCACATTTTTCTTACTTTTCCTTTTGCTGCCATTGTGCCTATAGATACCCTTCACATGCCTCACCAGTTCCGGCTGAGCTTGGGTTTTTCTCATCCCATCCCTGTATGCTCAGGCAATGTCTGTATATTTCTTCTGCGTAGCTCATCCCACTTCCACTTTAGACTTACTTCCTTTTGGAATACGAGCTCAACCAGGAGTTTTCTATAAAGCTGTGCTGGCTTTGTGCCATACCTGCTCAACACTTTGGACATCAGAATGGACTGACTGTCTTGTGCTTCTAGGATGTTCTCCTGGAAGATCAGCCAGCTCTCCTGGCTTCCTATGCCTTCTGGGATAGCCTATCATGAAATCCTATAAAAAAAAATCTCTGAACAAGTTGAAATCTCTTCTCCTGAAATATGGGGCTGTAATTCTGTAGTTGTTCTTGTTCACATCTCTCAGAACCTTTAATTCCACAATCATCTCATGGTTGCTGCAGCCAAAGCTCTCATCAACCTTCACACCCTCAACCAGTTCTTTATTCATGGATATGCATAAATACAACAAAATGCTAAGGTAGCTAAACAGCAGTACCTCAGAAAGGATCTGGAGTTTGTAGTAGAGCATTTGACAGTGTGATTTTGCTGAAAAATTCCCACTCTGGGATATATTGCTAGAAAATCATCCTTAAACCATATGAAATAATTATTTTACTTTACTTGGCGCTCTATTCAGTTTCGGCCATCACAAGTTCAAAAGGGTGTCAACAAACTGAAGAGAATCCAGAGAAGCAATGCTATCACAAACCAGGACAGTTAAGAGAATGGAGCTTACTTAGTTTAGAAAAGTTATAAGAGTAGCAAAGGAGCAGGAGCCTGGGGAGTCGTGGGAAATTCTAACAATATTTTTAAGATGCAAAGCAATTCTTTAGAACAAGAATAAAGATCGATTATCCTGCTGCAGGACAAGAAGTTATTGTTTAAATTGTGGAAAAACTCATTTAGGCTAGCTATTTGAAAGAGTTTTCTACAGCAATAGTGAAGCGCTAGAACAGGTTATCTCAGACACTGTAGAACTGAAGGAAGGAAGCTTCCTTGAAGATTTTGAAATATAGATCAGGCAAACAACTGTCAGCAATGGCCTACATATATTAATTCCATATTACAGCAGAAAGATGGACTAAATTACCACTGAAAGCTTTTGCAGCCTTCCAATTCTATGATTTCATTGTGCTTCAATGTGAACTTTAAATAACGGGACTATTAGTATTTCTAAACATATATGTAAGCATTTCATTGAACCAAGCTCTAAGGCACCTTGAAGGATAAAAGTATAAGTTCTAGAGGAATATTATGTTCTGGAGTAGCTATACTATATCATGGAATTATTCCTGTCAACAGAAATCTTTTCCATATTATTCCAGGATATATGGGAAAACGCCTATTTTGTCATTTTATGCAAAAAAGCCCCTCTTAATAGTCCAAGAATTTTTAAATAGACATCTCCCAGCCTCCAATCTTTTAGTGTTAAAAACATTTCTAAAAAAATCCTTTTATTCCTGAAAATTTCTTTTCTTTTTCAGTGTCTTTCTTGATGTCTTTATTGTTGATGTTGTGAATTTCAGCCAATGTTATATTTTTCTGCCAGAAATGATATTTTGGTCCAAAAAAAAGGCACATTAAGGATTCTTTAAATGGAACTAGAGGAGACAGACTGTCCTCACAGTTCCATTGCATGCCTCACTGACAGCATCATTAGAGTTAACAGCCTAAACTATGGCGGTGCAAATGCAATGAAGCTATGACCCCATTCTCTTCCCTTCCTGTTAATCTGAGGCAGGTTGCAATAAGGAACAAGCAGTGCATTTTCTCAAGGATTAAGATTGTCCTGCACAGGCATGTATGGACAGCTCTGTATGTCCTTCTATGCTGGCACACCTCTGACAGTGCAGAAACATTTAAGACTTTAAAAAGCATCAGTTATTCTACTTAATTACATTAATACTAACAACCAAAATCATTAGCTGACAAATATTTCTGGAAAATATGGTAAAAAATGAAAGAGTACAAAATGTACGGATGTTTAAATAACAGATTTTGTAAGTTTTGTTGTATCAAGACAATTTTATTTCTGTTAATTTATCTTTTGAACTGGACTGTTATCTTCTCTTTACCTGGTAGTTATATCTGTGCCAAGAAACAAATGACTTTAATACACCTTGGGATGGGCTCTCAGTGTCCTCCTTTGGTTACCTGTGCCAATGTTATCAAAGCTGTTACTTAGCCAGGAAGTAGGTGTCATGCAAACTTATTTCCCCTAATACTGAAGGCATAATTTCCACTGTATACATGAATGACATCATGCTGACACCACTGACTCTGAATTTCCACGTTTACACAGAATTTAAGACCTACCCTGTGAATATGAATGACAACGCTAGAAATATAAATGACAGTATGCTTGTTCCTTTCTGTTGCACTGTTTGATCAGGAGCTCAAAAACAGCTAAATACTGTCACTTGTAGCAAAGTTTCTGAATAATTTATTATTATTATTTTCTTCCTATAGATTACAATACAAGTGAGCAAAAGCAAGCATGTAAGAAACATGAACTTTATGTGAGTTTCCGAGACTTAGGATGGCAGGTATGGTTATAAATGCTGTTTCCTATCAATTCCAATCAGGAAAATTTATTTTACAGTCTCCCGTCAGTTATAGTTGGATATTTCCTCATGGTATGTGGTATTTCACCAATTCTTAAAGTGCATTCTGCAATAATCTGTTAAACTCTGCAGTCCTTTAGGATGAAATATAGAGCTTGTCACCTTTCCGGTCTGCTGCTTTCAGTGATAACACTATCTCTTTAATTTTTTTGGCTACTGCTCTCTCAAACTTTTCCAAGACATTAATAGGTTTATGATCTGAATTAACTCACCTCAAGGCAAATTCAAACCATTAGGCAAGATCTGAATAGATATGAGGTAAATGAAACCAAAATCCCCCCACTGAGCAATACATTTCTTGAAATTTACACTTGAATTCTCCCTGGTTCACCACTATCTACTGCAAGTCAGAAAGATTTCATTGGGTTAGAGTCTGTAGGGAACTAGAGCTTGGATTACTGCTCAGTGGTCTTGATAAAACTGTTGCTAAGTTCATATAATTCCTAGCATTAATCAGTTGTAGAAAAAACTCATCCTACTGTACAATAACAAAAAATAAGGTGTTTGTGGTAAGGGATCAGAGAGACAGAGGTGGGACCTTATAAAGAAAAGAAAACAGAGGCCAGAAAGTGTGTCTGCAAAGAAATAGCAAGAAAACCAGCAGCAATCAATAACCTTGAAACTTTGCATATATCAGTAAGAACTCAGAGATGCAAGGCTCTCAAATCTTCAGTAACTCAAGGTGGCCATAGAAAAAAGAAAATAGATTTTTTTCACAAAAATATTAGAATAATTCAATGTTTCAGTTGGAGAATGAAATGCATTCTATACAATATTTGACTAGTGAAACTTGGAATAAAGTGAGATAAAAAGAAACTAAAACCATGGAATGTATACCTGTTTTTCCCCCCTCTTCCCACCACAGCTCTTTTGCCTGGTAAAGAAGAAATTCAAGAAGCTAAACATGCAGTCATCATTAAAACTTTAAAATATTTTCCCTCATGTGATCTTTTCCGTATGCTGTCCTTATTGCTAGAAGTAGTCAAAATGCATCTTTCAATGACAATTTCCAATGGGTAATCAATTGTAACCTTTTGTCTCATGCAATAATAGGATTAATAACTGAATGTGTTGAAGAAAGAGGATGCATTTAGGATGCATTTTAATTACTTTTGTTGCAACAAAAAGTACTCAGGAATTTCAATCAGGGAGAAGTAGTTCTGGACCTTTAATTCCCCTTACAGTCTTATTAGTTCATATTCAGCACAGATTTGTAAGTTTAATTTAATTTTCATTTGAGTTTTGCAGAAACAAATCAAATACTCTTTTTTGGCAAAAAAAGTATCTTTACATGCCACATTATGAAGTTCTTTTTGTCCTTGGACAAGTCTTAGTTAGTTTGATATAGTTTTAAATTCTCTGAGCTAGGGGGAAAAAAAAAAAAGAGTATGTTCACTTGTTTTTCTGTTTTAGGATTGGATTATTGCACCAGAAGGCTATGCTGCGTTTTATTGCGATGGAGAGTGCTCTTTCCCACTCAATGCCCACATGAATGCAACGAACCATGCCATTGTTCAGACTCTGGTATGCCTCTGTGTGTGTTATCGTTGTCTATTTTGCAGTTGCAAGCATAGGTCTGTCTCTTCTTCTCTGTTTGCTACTGTTAGATTTTGATTATATTTGTGTAAATCACACAGAATCACAGAATGGTTGAGGTTGGAAGGGACCTCTGGAGATCATCTAGTCCAACCTCCCTGCTCAAGCAGGGTCCTCTAGAGCATATTTCCCAGGATCACATCCAGACGGGTTTTGAATATCTCCAACAAATGGTAACCCATTTCAAAGATATGCTTTGATGATTACACTGAATAGTGAATGAACTGTCCAGAGTAGCCTGTGTGATGGGTTTACTTTCCATTTCAATTTCAATAATACATGAAAAGCCTATGTCATACCACTGAAGAATTTTGTAGGCATGAACCAAAGGAGGGCCCCCATTTCCAAGAATTTTTTACCGCTCCATGTTAACATCTACATGCTATACCTTCCAGAAATGTTGACACTTGGCCACTCTGTGGACCTCTGCTGTCAATTATTGTCAGAGCAGCTCAAAATGTAGTGTAATGTGAAGCTCTGCAAGCAGATGTGCTAGCATGTGAGATACTATGTTCAGTCATGCCTGGCTAACAAATGCAATTTATAAAAAAGTGTGTTTGGCTTTGTTGCTCTGCCTGCTACATGTAACAGGAGATTTGCAGCCAGCTTTCTGCCTCTGCCAGTTCTTAAACTGTGCCTGTGTTCTTGTGCTTCAGCTGGAGCAGCCAAAGGGATGAGCTGAATTGTAGCAGCTGGCAAGGCCTCCTCTACCCCCAAAACATCCTGTTATGGTTCTGAAAGCACAGCACTTCCAAAAACCAAGGCCCTTAGAACAGGCCTAAGTGTAATGCTTTGAGTCTGATATCTAGTCATAATTTTTCGCCTATGCCAAATGAAGAACTGCCTCTGAACATCGTTAATATTTACAGACAGATTAAGAAACAGAGGAATGAGATAAAATGCACGGGGAGAGAGTGGGAGTACGAAATCAGAACAGGAAATGGTCGCCAGTCCTAATTAGTTTGTAAAAAGGTCAAGGCACTCGACTGCAACTAAGGGAACATGGGTTTAAGACTATCCCCAATTTAAGCTGTTGATCAGGAAAGTATCCTGACCACCAGACTGTGCTGATGAGTCTGTTCCCGGATGATGATCTTTTTCTTTGCTTTTGACAAAAAATCCTGAGAAGCCTGTTCCACTTCAGAGGTGGGTTCAGCTACTACCCTCCTGGGGAAAAATAAACACCTCTCGCTCCCCCAGACAAAGAAAACTTGGTTTTCATTGATTCTTTCTAACAAAAAACAATTTTTGCCTGTGAAAATTGTCGAGTATTCTTATATGACCGGGATATTTAAACAACCGCGTGGCCTGAGACCTTTTCCTTTCCATTCAGCTTCTCATTTATGCACTTCCACAAGACCTGCCACTGATGCAACATTATTTCTCTAGCCCAGGATTAAAGTCAGCAAGATACACAAAAAGAAGAGAAAAAGTCAGAGGTCGGGAATAAACAGAAAAGTTGTGGTAAGGTGTTCAGGTGCAGGGGAAGAGAAAATGCTCGTTAGGAAGGAATATAATAAGGTGTCCATGAGATGATGAAGAACAGCACATATGCAGCCGTGAAATGAAAAGAAATAGGTCAGCAAAGCAATAATTTAACACTCTGTAAACATTGCTCAGAAGAGCTGCCAATATCAGTGAGATCCCTAGGTTAGAGTTCCCTCCTACAGTTACGGACTGTGAAATAAAAAGAGCGATTTTCACTTGTGCAACTACCCTTTCCAAAAATGGTTAATTTCCCATGGTTGAGAAATTTCTGTAGAATGTTTTTGTTAAATTGGATACTTAAATTTTCCTTCCTTTTTATGGTCTTTTTGGAATTGTGTGTCTCCCTCTGCATGTACTGTACATGCATTCAGTTATGCAGCCAAAAAATCATGAGGCTAATTAAATTTTAACTGCACATAAATTAGATGAGATAACAGTAGTTGAATGCTTTCTGGTTTAAATTATACAACATTCAGATTTACACAAGGTGTGCACATGGGGATGGCTTGGGAAACAATTATTCATACACCCCACCCTAATCCAAATGTAATCATCTCCCAGCCATACTGATTACACCATTCTGAAAAAGCCCGCTCTTTGGGTTGGGAAGTGATTGTTCCTTGGTACCCCTCCAAATATTACTGACTCATTTTTTTTTATTTTGTAACCAGCATAGGAGAAATGCTGGGCCGGTACCTCTCTGTCTCTTTTTTTTCTGCAGGAGAAATGAGGCTGAACTTAGATAGAACACACAGATGCATATACATGCAAGACAGATCATATTTAAATGAGTTATATCCTTTCTTCTCCTCTCTTGCTTCCCATGAGCCTCTGAAAAAGTATTGCAGTGGAATCAGCCACATGGTCATTGAAGTCAGTGGATCAGCAGGCAGGCTCACACTAGCTTCCAGGCTTTTGAAATTCTCACTTTAATAAAGGTACTATTTAAAAGCATGGCCTGCCTGTCAGTATTGCCATTGTTAGGGCAAAGCCACATGTTTTCTTCCGAAGCGCATGTGGTGTTTATTGTGCAGTGTAGCCACAGGCGATGCCGTTGCCATGCACCTGATCAGCAGCAGCTCTTCCTTCTCACCACTGCTCCCTCCGCTGAGGCTTTTTAGTCACAGGAAGGGTTCTTGCAGAGCACCCCCTGGCTTGAGTTGCCCAGCACTGACAAGGACTAGAAATATAATTAATGAAAGAGCTTTAATCTCAGTGTCTCAGCACTGATGGTTAGCACCGTGACGAAGTGTCTCCCGCCTGGCCCCTTCCAGGGTCAGTACCAGGGCTGAGCGCCTCGGCGGGAGGGTCCGTGCTGCCTGCGCACAGTGCTGCGCTGCTTCCCACCACTCCCCGTGGCCACCTCGGGCTGGTGCGGCCCTGGCTCAGCTACCCCTCTGGGGGGCTCTTGCCTCTAACACAAGCCTGGACTTCACTGTGGCTCTGTGGAGGAAAGGCAGCTCAGAGAGAGAGAAAACCACAGTAGCCCATTTCAAAAGTTGTGACTGGGCAGGATTTTCCAGGCTATCTCTACTGTGAAAAAGGCCAGCAAGTCTAACATCGGAGATGCCTGTGCATTCGCAGAGCTGCGGAGCTTGTAGCTGGAGAGGCAGAGGCTGGTGGGATCAGAAGTTACGGCAGGGCAAACATCTGCTTCGGCAAGGCACAATCATTCTTCAGCGCTTTGCTATTCATTTGTTAAACTGTTTTTAAACGTGTGTCTAAACCCTTACTAAACTGCTACTTCAGGATTTATTATTGTTCATTTCAAAAGACCTTCTCATGGTAACAGTTATGTAAAAATCGTTTCCTGATAGACTGTTCTCTGTTGTCTGGCAAAGACTCTGGGTTTATATCACTGCAAGACAGATGGCTATAACAGATTTACAAAGACTTAACGTACAAATGAAACCTATTACTGCTGAAGTCTTCATCCATGCCTTAATAATCTCTTGCCCTCTCTATTACAACTCCCTCCTTTCTGGCCTCCCCAGTTTCCAAGTCTTCAGCATGCGTAGAATATCACATCCAACTTTCTTTAAAATACAAAGAACTTGTATTTCCCCCATTTTCAGATATTTCCACTAGATCTTGTTCGTTCTGGGATGCTGTTCAAAACTGTTTTCCTTCTCTTTAACCTTCCATTGATATATTCCAGCCTTGTGTACAGAAAGCCTTCTCTGTCTCAGCTCCTTCCCCAAACCTTCTGTCCAGCTGGCATCCACCTTATAAATTGATTTTGACTTCAGTGGAAGTAGAAATGGATCCACAGATCCCCAGATAAGACCTTAAAAATACATTGATGTTGTCCGTGAACCCACATCTTACTGTTTCACAGGCTGACACCAGTGTTTCAGAACGAGCCTCTGCTTTCTGTTGCAAACCTTGTGTGTTCCTCCATGCTGAGCAGGCTCTTGCTCAGGAAAGCATTTTAGCCCTTGCGTGCTCACTTCCCAGTGAGTCTAGGGACTTGAGCGTGTGCTTCATGTTAAAAGCATTGTCCTGAACAGAGATGGTACTAACCATATGTTTAAGTATTTTCCTAAAGAACAGCTTAACGCTGATGCTTTTCTAAATTTCATCTGAAAACCAACTTTCTGTCTTGGCCGCGCCTCCTAATTTATCTCTGCTATTGTATAAGTCTGCCCATACGGCTGAAATCAGTGGAAAGTTCTGGAGGTAAGGTAGGATTTAAAGTTGCTAACCGAAGAAAATCTGCGACCACAGGACTTTTTGCATTGTGTAGCCATGCTTTGCACTGACTTGATCCTTGTACCTCTCTGTTTGATATATGAGCAATGTATTTGTCTGTCTTTCAGGTTCATTTGATGTTCCCTGATCATGTACCAAAGCCATGCTGTGCACCAACAAAACTGAATGCAATCTCCGTGCTCTACTTTGATGACAGTTCCAATGTTATTTTAAAAAAATACAGGAATATGGTGGTGCGTTCATGTGGCTGCCACTAGAACAAAAAAATAATAATCTAAAGCAGAGGATTTTATGCAGAATTGTAATAAAGTCAAGTTATGAGCCTTGCTGATGAAAAGGCAACCCTAAATTTATTCCATTTCATGTCACGTCTCATTTAAATGTACAGTATAATGTATATAGTAGCTTTTATTTATTTAAAAGTATATACTTTCTTTTGTATGAGCAAAATTTCAAAACCATTTATTTTATGGGTCACCTTACTACACAGTAGAACTTGAAAAATTGATTTTTCAATTGAACATACTGGAACCTATTTCATTCCATTTTCAATATTTTAAACTAAAAGCTTTGTATAGATTTTTTAAAGTGAGAAGCTCCAGAACTTCTGTAACTGCTTTATATGTTAAAGGAACTAAAATAGGTTTGGTCATATTGTGCCAATGAAAACTATGGTGGGTATTTATTTAGAAAAAGGCACAGAAAAAAAACTAAACAAAACTGCTTGGCTAAACATATTTTTTCTTTTAGAAGTTCTGCTCCATTAGAAAAAGTGAAATGTTGAACAGTGTTTAAGTAAATAAACAGTAGATAGAAACTAGAAGTTAAAAGGTTGCACATAATTGTTAAAACTGTTTTCTTTAGCAAGATCAGTGTAACTAGAGGAGTACGTTCTTACTTGGCTTGTGGGATGTAGGCTCAAAGCTTCAGGAATTCTGTGGAGACAGACTCCAGCCTCTATCTATAACTTTCCAAGTGAACACTAAAAATTAAACGACAACATTCTTACCTCAAATCGCATCGGTTTATCGTCTATGACACTACTGCGGCAAATATTTTTTAATAAATAACAGCACAAGGTAAAATCAGGCAAACACCTAAGCCCTCCCATTATACAGGCAATTGACTATGTACCCAAGTTATGTAGAAGGTCAGCTTTTGGGAGGGCTCAGCTCCCACTTCTGGGTGTGTTTTCTGACTGTGCAAGGAAAAGGATGTAGCAGCTGCTGCACAGGCATAGCCCTGTAGCCTGTCTAACCCAGGATCTCATTTCTGGTGGTGCCTGTCCTCAGAGGAAAATGAAAAACACCTTTCAGAAGCAGCCATTGGGTAATTATTTATCACGTGCTTTAGGCCCCATATTCTTTTCTATCAGTTAGAGATTGGTCAAAATCATGAGACATAAAATTTAATATCTTTTCTTCCCTTAGCATTAAGTTTTGTAACTTTGAAAATTCTCAAATCCATATAAATAATCATTTTAAAAATATTCCTAAATTCTTGACCTCAAACAAAATCCTGTGGCTGTGAATTGCACAGTTTAATCCCAGATAGTAATAGTTCTCACCACCACAACCCATATGCTTGTTTTGAATTTACCACATTTAATATCTTTGGACACCCCTTTATTTTAATATTATGAAAATGGAAAAATAGAAACTCTGTTTTGTCTTTATTACACAGTTAAGTATAGTACATGCTTTTGTCAAGAACTTGCCTTGATTAAAAATGCTACATGTATACAGTTCTCAGAGTGTTGGTAAAAATGAACAGACCATATCAATTTCTCCTATCTTAGAGAATCTATCCATTTAAACTCTGACTTCAGAGGTTATTTAAAGTATATTTCAGAAAAACTCAGATTATTACAGACAGACAAAAGCAGTGCAAGTGTGTGTGTGCAAATGTGTGTATGCAAGTGTCTAGTTTTTTGCAGAAATTAATTTATTTTATCCTACTATTGCAGTACTATCATAAATCTTTTCTACGCATACACTCAGTTTTTTGAAAAATTAACAGTTCTGTTTTCAGTCTCTGGAGCTCTTTCCCCTTAGTATTAGAG